ATCTTCATGAGACAGGCATTTCCTATAACTCTTCTGCCAGTCAGTTGATGAGGATTTTTTTTTTTACCATCCTGCCTTAGCACAATTAGTAGAAGGTGAGATTCAATTTCTTCTAGATTCTCAGTGTGACCGTTTAACAGCTACTGATTTAAAAATTGAAATAAAGGATCCATCAGAAAATCCATTTTCTGTGCTTCTCATCATTCCTTTCATTGAGTTTTCTTTCATTTGTTCGTTCATTTGGTCTTGTAATCAATTTATGTAATTAATTTGTATGAATCTAAGGCATGAACCTGGGACCAGGTAGGTCAGAAGCTAGTGTAGCAGTTTACAGCCTAATTGAAATAAGTTACAGATGCTAGTCAAGAGCTTTCAGTGAGCAAAATTTTTTTATGAAGACACTCAAGTTCATAGAAGGAATACAAAATGATATAGGAAATGTGAGGCATTAGATAATAAAAATATTTTAGTATCAAAGTTCTTCCAGTTTTTCAGAAGGATACATAAAGCTCCTTAAGATGACATGTGGAGCATTAGACAATAAATATGTTTTAATATTGTTCTAGTTTATCAAGAAGATGTACAAAGCTCCTTAAAAATCTGCTTTATAATGTTGTACAGTCAGTTTAGCTTCTAGAAACATCTTTTCTCTTTCTGGTATATAAAATGATTCTGCTGTAATGTTAGGAAAATAAACTCACTAACACTGGTATTGATTTTCTGCTCAATAAACCAGTGCTTTTTGAATTTTTCTTTTATCCATGGATTGTCTCTTATTGACTGGAGAGAGGAACAAGATCCATCTATGTCTGTATTTAATGGAATCAGATGGCGAAATGATTCTCTTGCTGGTACTGTGATGGCGAAAGTGCTTTTTGCATTCAGTTTCAACGTGTTATAACCTATTTGACTTAATTAAGTAAAGAAAAGACCATAATTATAGCCTCCTTTAGCTTCCTGATTAAGACCTCAGATAGAGATGGCTGAGAGAAGCTGTGGTTGGCCCATTTAGGCCTGGGGTGTGTTTTCCTAAAACTGGAGCTCTCTGGCCCTCTCATATGCAGCTCATTGTGACAATTTCCAAATTTTGTGGCCATCAAATGGGTATCTGCAAATGCAACCACTCCAAGTCTAACTCAAACATGGTTTTCCTCCAAGAGTTTCTTTTCCCACCAGCTCCAAATTTTCCAGCCATGGACTCACATCTAGCAGAATTAACACTTCCCTTTCCTCTGTACATCAAAGCAGCACAGAAGTGAAGCAAGGACTTAGCAATACCCATATAGTAAAACAGCACTAACTGATTGCTCAGCAACTGGAATCTGCTGCATCTTTAACTGTTCCAGCTGATCAGCAATCACTTGAACATGCCATTGGAAATGCAAGTATCTGCAAGTCCTGCATAGATTGGGTGAATCCATGGCCCTTGCCTTCCCTCAGCCTGTCACAATGACTTTATCCAGCATTGTTTGGTTCCATGAAGCACAGAGAACTGCAGAACCATTGCAGGAGCTCGGAGCTTCCCCATCAGTTGCCCTGTTCATGGCTGGATAGGCAAAAAAAACAAACAAACAAACAACCCAGCACTGTCAGCAGCAGTATAAATGGAGTAAATGCTATTCAGTTACAGCAGTCCTCATGGCAAACAGCAGTTTCCCAGTCATAAACAAGATAATTTGGAGCTATTCCTCCACAGCCCTGTGCTATGCATCGTGGCCCTTTTATCTTAGCCCTTATAACTAGGAAGCTCAGTAACCTACAGAGGGATACTGCAGAGCAAATCATATTGTGTGGTACGAGAAATATGCAGAAAAGGCTTATTTGAAATAGAAAGAGTAAAATGGGCCTTTTGTACATTGATATTGCTTTCAAGGTGACTAGCTGTCATGGGAATGATAGGCAAATAATGACAGATGTATTCAGTCCAGAGTGGAGATGAAACGCCACACGTTTCAGGAAGGATATGCCATCCTGTTCTGCTAAAACCAGATTTTTGGGTTTTGGTGAAACAGAGTCAGAAGATGGGGTTTGTGGAAAAGCATCTTGTGAAAGCTGTGCTTGGTGTTTCACCAGCCAGCTAGACATTTTATAATGCTTTCTGTTTTCTCTGTTCTTAGCTATTTCTCTCTACAAAATATAACATTTCAAAGCATTGTTCTCTAAGAGAAATCAAATTAGTAAATTACTGCTTCTTCCTGTGTCTTAGTTTGCGGTTATAAGTCCAGTGGGGTTCTGTGTTAGAGATGGAAGCCATGAATCTATAATGCAGTAAAAAGACTTTATTCTCCTCTAGAGATTCAGTTAATATTGTTGTTTGTAGATTCCTGGAGTCAGGTAAGGTTTCTAGGGGAGGAAGTTTAGAATACTGGATTGATTATTTGATAGCCTAATTTTTTTTTTCCTGGGTTGTGTGGTTTTATTTGTTTGCTTATTTGTTTGTGGGCTTTTTTGTTGTTTATTTGTTTGTGTTTTTTTAATTATTATTATTCCTGCATTTGTTGCAGGACTTTAAAACTTCTTTATTGCACTTCTAGTACTTCTTGGAAATTCTAGTGAGGAAGGAGAGTCATTTCACACTTGCCTTTCTCTGAGTGGGACAGTGATGCAGAGGTACCTGGTGTATGCACTAGGAAAATCCACACGAAAGGCCATTTGCTCTTTGTGCATCGGGGGAACTGATCCAGTCTGACACATGCTATGCAGAGTTAAACAGGTTAAACAAAGCATAGCAAAAGTTGCTTGGGATTCAGCAACAGGGGACCAATTTCTGTGATGATGAGGTGTATAAAAGTAAAGATTTTTTAAATATTAAACTCCTAGGGAAATATGCAGCAACATATATAAACATAACATTTATAACTACTAGTTATAAACTATGGTTTGCCTACTTGAAGATTATTTTTGTTATTTTGGCTGCAGAAAGAGACAAAATGTCTTGAAGAAATTATGGCACTTTTTTTTTTCAGTGCATTAAGCATTAATACATAACAAATAATTTTCATATGTAATCTTATAGATTTTCATTTGAAATTTGGAAAGTACTTAGTAGTGTTCTGTTTGTTTTCTGGTGTGTGGCACTATTTCACAAGGACAACCTATTTTCTGGTAGACGTCCTAAAATTTAGGGTAATAATAGAGAACAATCTAAATGTGTTTCCCAAAGCAAAGTAAGAATGATTTGCAGCATTTGATCACCTTTCCTATTGCCAAAGTCAAAACTCGGAGTGAAAAACAGCAGGAAGAGCTGTTAGTTTGGGATAAGTAGGTAGTGTTTCCATATGAAGCTACCTGGAATGTTTCAGGCAGTGCCACAGCAGCGGTGCTGGCTGCGTGGCTCTGCGCAGGAAAGCCTGCCATCTGCTGTGCCACCAGCATCCCAGCTGCTCTGCTGCCTGCGGGCAGCCCTCTGCTCTCTGTCTGGGAGAACTGAAATTAGAATGCCTGTGCTGGAAGGCGCGCAGAAATCCATAACAACTTAAGGCAAAGATTTTTATTCACGTGGAGTTTTTTTTTTTTTAAGTGACAAACTAGGCTCACCTTATCATCAAAGCTGAATATCAGATATGAATTACCACTCCTTCACTTTTGCTTCATAGTGCCTAATGTTAAACAAACCCAGCAGTAGAACGTAGACTGACTCTGTTTAGTCTGATCCTACATAGCAGGATGCCTGGGTGAAAAAAGAAATTTATACCATTTTGAAGAGATTGCGAGTGAGTTTCTAAGTGAAGCTTAACAAATAGCACCATGTGGCAGCGTGGGGCATTTGACAGATGTTTGGTCTCTGTGGAAAGTTAAATATGCTTATTGAGAGATTTGGCTCTATTTTTCCCCGTATGTGCTTGCAAATCATTACTGAAACTCGTATGTGTATGCTTTCTTTAAATGAAGTCCACTGAGAAGTAAAAGAAAATAAACTGTACACTTGTTAAAGCTTTTCACAAAATGTTTTAATAAGGATGTAACAGCTTCCACATGAGCAATTTTGGAACTAAACAGAGCTGACTCAGAGTCCACTTAAATGAAGTAGTATTTCTTCTCTCATTTCAATGGGCTTTGAATCAAACAACTTTGAAATACTAAATTTATACATTCATTTAACAGTACCTAATTTTTGGTGAAAGAAATGCACAAAGTAGTCTCCTGCTTACTGCTGTTGAGCAAAGTTAAAGGTACCTTTTAACAAGAACCTGCAGTATGTCCACCACCAGGTACTGGATGCTTCCACTGCCAGCCTCAGCATGGCATGCACTTCTACCAGCACGGGGTACGGGTGTGCTGCTACCAAGGATTTTTCCCAGTCCCTTGCTTCAAACTCTCAGCAGTTATAATTAATACCACCACAGCACTGAGCTGGAAAAGTGATTTGTCACAGCTACTGGGACTCCTGCCACTGCATGATACTGTTAATACAGGTGGTAGAAAACAAACTGACAGAGCTGTTTGTTTCAACATGGTTCATCCTGGTGTGTGCGCCTGGGATGAGGGGGAGCGGGGAGAGAAGGGTTTGTTTAATCAGCTGTCATTTATCAAACAGTAAATCCTCACTTGTCTATGGGGAAAGTATTGTTTCAGAGGGGGAAAAAAAGGGAAAGTTCTAGAGAGTTTTTCTGGGGAGAGACAATGTAGATGAAAGAATTAGAAAAAGTCACAACCTTTTTCTCTGAAAAGAAGCCTTCTTGAGCATTGCCCCTTTTAAAAGCACTCTTGCAGGTAGCCACCACAGACATAAGTACACAGCATAAATTGCTTCAGAGAAACACATTCACAGCACAGTGACAAGAATAAAAAAATCAAATAAAAAGACATCTGACACACTAAAACCAACACTTCTCGGAAATGAAACATTCTGAAGCTCTGGGCCAGTATATTACATTGGCAACTTATGAAACCCATTTTATCTCTTTTTAGTGCAACAGAAGAAACTGGAGCTAGGCTAATAGCTATTGTCAAACAGCTACTTTTCTGTCAAGTATTTATTTAAAAGCCTGGTGGAGATTTTGAACAAAATCCCCTTTTTCCATATCAGTTAAAGTGACTTTGTGGCCACTCAGGTCATTGAAGTCTGCCTCAGTCCCTTCATCACTGTTTCCTGGCCAGCGGAGCACTGCAAGACAATAACTTCACAGTCTAGTGCTCCCCTTAAACTTTATTACTTGCACACTCCATCGTGCAGAGGAACACACTCACACCTCTCCCAGGCCAAAGCTTCCTCCTGCCCCCAGCTCAGTTCTGTCCCTGTGGGTCACAGACCCATCACCTCCAGTTACTGGCATCCTGCTGTGAGTTCTGAGGCACTGCAACAATCAGGTTCCTTTCTGAAGAGCTTTTTCTGCTTTGCTGCCTGTGATCGCAGCACAGAGCCTGAACCCCAGGGAGGTGGGAGCTGTCTGCAGAGCAAAAGCTGTTCCTTTTCTTGGGGCCTTTTTGCTCCCTTCTTTTTCTTTTCCCCATGGGGAGGCAGGGAGAGACTGCTTTCCAGGAGAGGGCAGATGTGTTCAGGAGGGACCTTTCCCAGCTTTTCTGCTCTCTGACTGGCAGGTGCCTACCCATGGATGCTGAGCAGGTTTGCTGCTGGTCAAGGGAGTCTGAACCTGACCTCAAGCAGGCTCTGCTTGGTGGCAGGGGGTCCCACTAGCTAAGGGGAAGGAGAGGGGACCTGTACAGAAGGGGAAAGTTTTTGTGGGACCTGCTTGTCAGACAGACGGGGCTAGTAAAGCCTGGCTGCCAGATCCTATGCACGGCAGTTTACTAGGGGGGTGTCAAAGCATCAGCAAATGCACCCAGTTTCAAAGGAGGCAAGGGGAATGGGGCAGCACACCAAGGACGTGGGGTTTTCTTTGCTTCCTCTTCTGCCAAACGATGCTGTCAGTAGGCTGGATCAAAACCCCCTCCCTCCCAGCCTCCCCATGCCACAGCCTGGCTCCGCTCACCCTCCTGCTGGGGGGTGGTAGGGCAGGGGGCAAGAATGCTTCCTCAGAGGGTAGTAATCCTGGAGGTGCACGTGCCGTTCCTGTACATGCTCCCTGACTCCAAGTTGTCCGGGGGAAAGTCCTCCACGCTGTACGCCCTGCTCTTGAGGGCAGTGGCATAGTAGTCGATGGGTTCCTCCGGAGCATTGTCCATCCAACTGAGGCAGAGCAGTCTCTGGAAGGACCGCTTGAAATTGTCTGAGAGAAAGCCATAGAGGATGGGGTTGGCACAGCTATTGGCATAGCCCAAGATGACAGAGAGCTGGCTGATGGTGGCGTCATCCTGCTCTACAAAGACATTGACCAGCTGCACAATGTAGAAGGGCATCCAACAGATGACAAAGACCATCACCACCATCATGACCATGAGGGTGATCTTGCGCTCCGAGCGTTTGCGTTGCTGCCAGCCAGCCTTCAGGGCCACCATGCGCATCTTGGCAATGATGAGGATGTAGCAGAGGCAGATGGCCACCACTGGTAGCAAGAAGCCCATCAGAAAGGTGTAGACCACAAAGACCACCAGCCACCTCTGGGTGGGCTCCGGCATGAGCATGTTGCAAGCCACCGTTCCATCACTGTTGGCCGCTGTATTGGAGAAGATGATGATGGGCAGGATGATGAGGATGGAAAGCACCCAGACACCAAGGTTGACCATCTTAGCCACGGTGGGTCGGCGGTACCTGGCCGCCTTGATGGGGTGCACCACGGCGATGTAGCGGTCCACGCTGAGCACAGTCAGGCAGTAGATACTGGTGAACATGTTGATGGCATCCACGCTGAGCACCAGGCGGCAGAGCAGAGAGCCAAAGGGCCAGTGGTGCAGCAGGGTGGAGGTGACCAGGAAGGGGACGCTAAGCATCAGCAGCTCATCCGCAATGGCCAAGTTAAGGATGTAGATGTTGGTGGCCGTCTTCATTTTGGCATAGCGTAGAATCACGTAGATGACCATGGAGTTGCCACACAGCCCCACCAGGCACACCACAGAGTAGATGAAAGAGATGAGGATGGCGCTGCCCTGGGACTCACTCAGGGTGCTGTTCGGGGCATCGGAGGAGTTCCTGCCGCCCGAGTCCATGCCCCTCGCCGCCGCCTCCTCCAAGGCGCCGCTGGCTCCGCTGTGGCTGCCGCCGCTGTGGCTCCCTGCACCGACCGGGAGCCTGGTGCAGGTGCCATCGGGGAGCATACCCCGCCCGGACGTCCCCGCTCCTGCTCAGCACGGCTGGCTCCGGCCGCTCGCCGGGCGCAGCATCGCGGCGGACTACCGGCGGGCTCCCTCCCGTGCGGTGCTGCGGGCGCGGGGACGGACGGAGGCGGCAGCCGGCGCCGCTCGCTCCGAACGCAGGAATCGCTGCTCCCCGGCTGGTGAATGATTAATAGGCAGCGGCGCGTCACCGGCTACGAAAGGAGGAGGGAAAGAAAAAAATGCGGGAGGAGACGTTAGTGGGTGTCCCTCCCCACCTCCCGCCTCCTAGCTCCCCCCCGGCTGCTTGCACTGCCCCTGCCCTACGCTGTATTGCCTCTTTTCATCCTGAGCTGCTCTCCCGCTTTTCAGTGGCTCCAACAAAGCCAGCATCTCCTCTTGCCCCTCCATAGTCCATGGCCTTTGGGTCCGGGGGCACCCGGAGCAGAAGGACCATACTTCCCTCTCAAGAATAAAAGCCTGGGTCTTGGATGGACGGGCAGTTTTCATTCCCACACAGCTGCTGTGTTCTCCTCTCTGCACCTTCCACATTGCCCACCCCACAGAGCTGCCACCACGCACGGCACTGAGTACATGCTCCACAACCTGGGGCTGAGCACTGCCTGGAACCTGCAATGCCTTGCACCTCCCACCAACACACAGCTCCATGCTCTCTACCTCATTCTATCTCACCTCCATCGTCGGACATCACATGTAAATGGCATCCCATACTTTACAGCCCTGCCCTGCCCTGCTCTACATGTTATGTCCTGAGCCTTGTCCCATTCTCACACCTTAGCACACCTTCTGACTGAGCACCAATACTCACCATTGCTATCTGCACCATGATGGTGCCAAGAACATCCCAGCTATGCTGCCACACAAGGATACCATCTGTCCACTCTTCTGTCCCCTCACATACTGCTTCTATTGATGGTATCACTTCAAATGGAACCACCACATGCTAGATCACCACTGCTACACACACACACACACACACCCCTTAATACTCCACTTAAAACACATCCATATCCCTGACTAGGATGTGCCTTGACAAACTGCTTCTACACATTGACCCATATTGTGCTGTTTTGAACATGCACCCCAATCCTAGACAGATGCAATCAAAACCAATCGCTACTCATGCTGTTGTGCCCAGTCAGACACTGATTCCTCATGCACCTCATCCACGCTACCAGCTCCAAACACACATTAACACCATCAGCATGCCCTAGATCCGCATTTTAGCACTCTAGGCAGACACTGGTCACCTTCATATCCACACCTTCTTCCAGGCATCAGGTCTCTTTGCTCCATACATGCAGTCACTCCATGCAGTCTGCTCTTATATTTACATATAACCATTTTGCCAGCTTCCAAACAGAACCACCACCTGCCTATTCTGTATGAACCAGTTACTCACTAACACATGCACCACAATTGCTTACTGAATCAAAACTCCCTCAGCACATACATATGCAAAAGAGAAAAACAAAACCAATATCTGCTTATTCTGTCTATTGCAGCTACTTGTATGTGTGAGCACATCTCACCTTTATGGAGACCAATCTGCTTCTTCATATGAACTCACCTATGATTACTGCCTACTTTTCCAAGAGCAGCAGGTCCATGCCACATAAATATCACCACAGTGCATAAGCCCCTAACATCACTATGCTCAGCATCATGCATGCGTCCTCGCTACCTACTCTTTTTACTGTGCATACCCATCACCTCCTACAGTTCACAAATCCCATTATCACTGTCTTCCCACCCTCACAATTATGCATATTATCACTACCCACCACTTTAATATGCAGATACGCAAAATCAGTTCATTATAACCAAATATCACCAATAGCTATTCCAACACACACACGTAGTCTTGCTGATTTTCCTCATGTCAGTCATCACTTCCAGGCTATATACACCTTGGTGCAGCAAAGGAACAAACGTGTGCTCTTTGGCACCTTGTTATAGGCATTATGTTTAACAAACGCACCCTTTTGCAGATGCCTTAAGCAAACCGTTTCCTTTTCTTCCGTGATCAAGAAGAAAAGAGAATAAGGATCTATATAAAATTTTACCCAGAAATTAACAGTTTAAGATAAAAACAAGTAAAAAAAAAATCAACACCCTCCCCCCCCAAATAATAATATTAAAAAAAAAAAAAAAAAAACAGCAAAAAAACCCCACTCCACTCAGTAGTTGTGATTGCATGTAGTTCTATTTGAACTATATTCTTTGTGGCTTTTGGTCATCTTGAGTTTTTTTTGTGTTTATGTTCAAATGTAGAAATACCTTTACTGAGTCACCTTTGCAAATGATATTAACACTGTAAGGATCATCACTGTATATGACTAGCTAGATGTTAGAGCACCTGGGGATGTCATACAAATTTTCTTGAGAAAATTCATCCATACAATTTGGGTTTCAGAGATTGCATATTCTCATGTGTTAGCATCAGAACTTCCAGTATACAGTGAAAAGATTTATATTTAACTACACCATGCGGAAACTTTATTTGAGGCATGTTATCTGCCCCTGTTCCACAATTACATAAATTCAGCTGGAGAATGATATTCATTAAAATTTATATTCTGGGAGAATGTGAATCAGCTTTCAGTCACTGACATGAGGAGGAGCTTAAGTAAATAACTGCAAACCCATCAGCAAGAACATCTGGTTGATTGCAGCACTTCAGTCTTTTTGAAAACCTATAGTTCAACTATAATCCAATTTTTGTTTACGTGAGCATTTCTTTTGAGGAATATTTATATACAGAGTGTTGTATAAAGGATTTCCTTGTTTCATATTGTTATAAATTGGCATTTAACAGTAGCTTCACTATGAATCTGAATGCTTTTGTATTGCCCTCTGTGAAGATAAGAGCAAAAACAATTGATTTTGAGACTGATTGATAGCAATGTCGTCAGCACAAAATATAAGTTCTTGTCCACATTCCCCTCCATTGTATCTGCATATGCATAAACAAAGTCACTCATGGAGGTGTATTAGACACTTCCTTTTTCATTTGTCCCATTTTAATCAATGCAAGCAGTTGGCTGGGCCCCGCACCAGATGATCAGTAAAAACTGTTCTATGAAAATAAATTTGGGCAGTGTTCTTTCTTACTGCAAAGATTCAAAATCAGTTACCTGTAAACTGGTACTCCTGCAGAAGTACAAACCTCATTAGGCATCGTACACATACCTCGTTGATGCATATACCCAGAAAAACAAAACATTATTGTAGTTATCATTATAACGAAGTGCCGGGTGCACAATTTATAACACTTACGGACTTCTATGTCTCTTTTCCACAGATAGGGAAAATTACATTCACTTTAGAGAATGCTGCCATTTTCCAAAAAGAAGTTGATTGCCTGCCTTGTCATTTGAACAAATTTTGCTATCACAATGCATATATTTTACTGATAAATTCTAGACCAACATTCAGTCCTCTACTGCTCATGATTCAAAAGTGGATATTTCAAACTTTAACTATACGATAAAGAAGCAATGCTTCAATAGAAATAATGTATTTTATAATCCAAACAATGATATAATACCATTATAAATATCAGCACTGACTCATTTCAGCCTCACAAAATGAAAGAAATAGATGACAGTAGAAATATCTTGTAAAGAAGAAATTCTAATACGTATAAACTCTAATATGAAAACATGCTTAGATTTCTTTTTTTTTTTTTTATGGTTGCATTTTTAACCTAAGGATTTCTCTGTAATGAATAGACTAGTGGTCTCAGTTTGTGATTATAAAGGTTCTGCCACAAGAAGGGGAAAGGCAGCTTGATCATCTCAACACAGGCTGTAGGTCTGCCTAGGATGCATGCAGATGAATTTCAATACATCTTTCTTTAGCAAGACTTGCCTCCCCTGGCAAAGTGAAAAATGAATTATCTCCAGAAAATCTCACTTCTGGGCCATGCTGGGCAGCCTAGACCTAATGCTCAGCCCTTGCCAAGGGTTAGAGTTAGGGTTAAGAATGATATGAGTGAAGCCTGTAGCAGCACAGAAGCAAGGTGAAAGGACAAGTGATGAAGGAGGCTGCACATGGTCACTCCTTTGGGTTGTGGCTAGGCATCTCAGGTACAGCTCATCCCATTCCTCTGCTTGTGTTAATGGAAGGTAATTTTGGAGAGATGGGCAACAAAAATCAAACAGACTGTATAAATCACAGCTTCATCACCTTGTGGTTGGAGCTCCAGACAAACTTTTGTACGAGCTGATAGAGCACTTACTCCTCTGAAATTCATAGAATAATAGAATTGCTTGATTTGGATGGGACCTTTTTAAAGATTGTCTACTCAAACTACCCTGCAATGAACAAGGACATCTACAGCTAGATCAGGTTGCTCAGAACCCATCCAGCCTGACCTTGAAGGTCAAAGTCTCCCACCTGGAAGGACCCTAGAAATGGCTCACAAGGCAGATATGTTTTCTGTCAATCAAGATGTATTTTGTCTAGAGTCACCATGCCAAGACACTAAAAAATAATCTTAGGATATAGTATTATATATTTTAAAACCTGGGAAATATATGAATGTTTATCATCAATATCTTTCAAATTTTCATTGCTACAGTGCTGCAGTAGGCTGTGAAATATCTCTAATTTTTATACGTTGTGAAAATTCAGGAAATTCAAAAGAATTTTGGTAGACTGAGTCATGTTGATGATGTTCCACTGAATAATTCAGTTAACTGTCTCCTGTTCAAACTACAGATACCCTATACAACATTCGAACCAAATGTTTAATAAATCTTGCTGAGAACTTAAAGACTGAATGCTCTTTTACAACCATTAATTTCTACAAAATAGCAAAATATTATGTATTTTCAGTAATCAGTTGAATTGTGATCTGTTACAGTTTTGTTATAAATCATTCAGTACCCATATAGATTGCACATTTTTGGGAGTCATACATTTTTCATTACCTTTTTTATTAAGATAGAAAATTTTGGGCCACTTAAACCACTCAG